AGCACTTTGAGAAGCAATTCATCACAAACACCTACCCATGCAATCAGGAGTTTACAACTCTTGTGAACTTCCACAGTGTCAGAATGGCTTGCATAAAAACAACTTGCAAAATCACTTAGAGCTTACTTCACCACAAGAAATCATTAATATTATTAAAAAGCTCAGGAATAGAAAGGCCCCCGGGCAGGATAATGTCAACAATGTAGCACTGAAATGGCTGCCAATAAATATGATCAATCGTCTTACAGGTATTCTGAATGCTTGCCTGTACAATAGCTATTTTTCCGAATATATGGAAGTCTGCTAAGATGATTGTGATCCCAAAGCCGGGAAAGAACCTGACAAAGCCGGATGGGTACAGGCCCATTAGCCTGTTGCCCAGTATGGGAAAAATACTTGAAAGGATCATCCTCAGCAGAATACAACCACACCTGGATAAGTTACCACTTCGAACAGTTTGGCTTTAGGAAAGCCCTATCCACGACGAAGCAGCTGGTTAGACTGAATGAATTCATAGGTAGTGCACTGCACAACAAAAGATATGTTGCCTTACTCATGCTGGACGTGGCGAAGGCGTTCGACCGCGTCTGGCATGAGGGGTTAATTTATAAATTAATCAGCTTGCAGTTCAGCACTGAGTTAATCAAAATTATTCACTCGTTTCTTTCGAACAGAACATTCAGTATACATATTGGTGAAAGCACTTCAATAAGAAGCAAGTACAGGCCGGGGTCCCTCAAGGATCTATTTTAGGGCCCGTGCTCTATTTATTCTACGTGGCAGACCTACCTGCAGAACATTTAGATCAAAATTTCTTCATGGGTTGCTACGCAGACGACACAGCTTTTGCTGTCAAGTCTGGGTCGCCAAATTTTGCGGTTAAGAAACTTCAACGATTTATGCCGAAACTTGAAACTCTGGTGTGCCAATTGGAAAATTGCAATTAATGCTGATAAATCCAAGCTTCTGATTTTTAAAAAGAATAAAATGAACCACCCCTTAACTGCACAACTGTTGCTATTTGATACTGTCGTACCAGTTGTAAAAACTGCTACATACTTAGGATTAAAATATAGTGCTAATTTCCTCTGGAAAGAGCATATAAAATGTGTCAGAGGAAAGACTATCGGGGTAATTCAAAGTCTTACGCCACTCCTGTCTGCGACCTCCAAATTAGATATCAAGAGGAAGAGGCATATTTATAATTCCATTATTCGTCCCATTTTTGCGTATGCTTCTCCGGCCTGGGCTACAGTTCAGAAAAAGGAGTTAAACAAGCTGCAAATTATTCAAAATAAAGTTCTTAGGATGATAACAAATGCTCATTATTATGTCTCGAATCACACCCTGCACCGTGACCTGAAAATGGAATCTGTCGAAACATATCTACACAAAGCAAATAACAAATTCTTCAACAACGCACAAGAATGTAACCATATGACCGATCTCAATGTTTTGGATTACGTTATTCTTGATGAAGATGCTCCGCTAAGACCACTCGCGGCCCACCTCGCCAGGGACTTAAATTTCCCCACGTAAAAATACTCATGAAGGATATGCACAGCTCTTGTATATATTGTATATAGTATATAAAAATATTTTCTTTCTCAATTGTAATTTGTATGTTTCTTTTCATTTTGTATTTATGTAATAATGTATAGTATGTTTAATTCAGATGTCATGATTGAAACTATTGGATTCTGTCTGTGTCTTCTTTGATGATACAACACAAACATTTCATACAGATCCTCACGGCTCCTGCTTTACAAATTTCTGATGCGCGCGCCACTCTTTGGCCTTGCGACTCATGGTCGCCCCCTGTAACCACCTTTGACCTCCTAAAAATTGTCATGGAAAATTCAATGTCATGTGCCCTTAGGGCTCAATTCTTCAAGAGCCGGATAAGTTGAGCAGCTGCGTGACACTTCGGCAATATCTGTACAGACTAGACTAGACTGTTGGCATTGGCTCAACCCCCTTCTAGTTCCTGCTTTCCTGGCACTTGAGTGTGAGCGGTTTCCAGCCCCTTCAGAAGGATGCATGCAGTCCGGTGATTAAAGTGCCTTGGTTCTGGTTTGCGGGATGGCTGTTCCTGAATAAAGTTCCTTGGTGCCTGTCCGCGGGATGATTGTTCCGGAATGAGTTCCTTGGTTCATATCCATAAGATCCAGAATAAAGTTCCTTGGTTCCAGAGGCTACCATATGAGTGACTGCCGTGGACCGCATTTATGTTCTTCAATAAAGGTGGCAATTAAAATACGTGAGCGGCGATTCCTTGTGCAAACGGAGTTAGGCCGGTTTTAAGTGTTTTCAAGAACTTGATTTAAATTTCAGGTGTTTTTCTTGACCATTGATTATGGACTTATTGAATGTATAGCCAGCTTTATTTTTAGGCCGCTTAATTACTGTTTAGGACATTTTATTTGTATTGAATGCCAGTGTTTTGGAGACCAGGTAAAAATATTATTTGATGAATGATGGTTATATTATATTTTTCCTAAGACTCTAATATTGTTGAAATTTATTTTCTGTGTTTTTATTCTTTATTATATTGTTAATAAATTGGTTAAGTTCAGAATCTTTTATTGTCTTCAATGTCTGCACAACATATCTCAGGGAGCTTTTATTGCTACTACTGTTAATGTTTAATTTTTTTTTTTACTTTAAACTTTGCTTTAGCATCAACACGCATGCATCAACGCATTATGCGTTGGCGCATGCGCAGAAAGTTTGTAGCCTTGAGGTCCGGATTATGGGTGTCCGAATTAAGGACTTTTGACTGTCATGCATGTAGATATCAGCCAGGATGTGACTGAGGGGGCTTCCCATGGCTAATCCCTCAGTTTGCTTGTAGTATTTATTTTGGAAAACAAAATGTGTTTGTTTCAAACAGAGTTGAGTGAGAGAAATTAGCTCATCAATTTCGATGCAAGAGAAATGAAATTCGCGAAGTCTGGTTTCTAGACATCTTAATACACCCTCCACTGGAACATTGGTGAATAATGATTTTACATCAAAAGAAACCATGAAAAATATTTCTAAGAGAAATGTTTTTAACCTTTTTTACAAACTCTATTGAATTTTGCATTAAAACAGCTAAAATGCGTGAAATTCATTCTAACCCAGATATTATCATTTCAAAGGCCGACAAAGGTGGCCAGATAGTTGTCATGGATAAGAACACTTACATCAATGGTGTCACTAAACTCTTAAACGAAGGACTATATAATCCGATCCCTAAAGACCCTTCACCTTCAGACCTGTCAAAAATAAAAACTGCGATCAAATCTTCGCAAATCATTTCAAGCAACTTAAAACATTCGCTTATCCCATCTGTTGCGAATTGTGCCAGATTATATGCTCTTCCCAAAATTCATAAAAGTGGTATTCCTTTCCGCCCTATTGTATCAAATTTAGGTACTGCCTCGTATCCATTAGCTAAATATTTAGTTTCTAGATTTTCCACTCTATTAGACAATAACATTTACACCATAAAAAATTCAATAGAGTTAGTAATAAAGGTTAAAAACATTTCTCCTATAAATTTACTCATGGTTTCTTTTGATGTAAAATCATTATTCACCAATGTTCCAGTGGAGGGTGCATTAAGATGTCTAGAAACCAGACTTCGAGGATTTCATTTCTCTTGCATCGAAATTGATGAGCTCTCACTCAACTCTGTTTGAAACAAACACATTTTGTTTTCCGAACTAAATATTACAAGCAAACTGAGGGATTAGCCATGGGAAGCCCCCTCAGTCCCATCCTGGCTGATATCTACATTCATTATTATGAATCAAAATTGTTTAAAACTTTAAACTTCCCTGTATGGTTCTGCTACGTAGATGATACTTTTACCCTGTTTGAAGGTAATAAAGATGATTTAAATAAAGTTCTTTCAACAATGAATTCTATTGACCCTGCTATTCAGTTCACTTTTGAACTTGAGACTTGCAATTCTCTTCCGTTTCTGGACATTCTGATCACACGTAACACATCCAACTTCAGTACTACTGTTTACCATAAACCTTCATAGGTTTGCCTTCCACCACACTTGAAATCATGTCATCCGACTAAACAAAAGTTAGCTTCATTTTATTCCTATGTTTTCCATGCTCTTCAAGTTTGCTCCTCCAAACTATCCCTTGATGAAGAACTAAATTATTTAAAAGCAATAGCTATTGACAGGGGCTTTTCACCTAACATTATTAATCAAGCAGCTAACAAATTCTCATCTCAACACACTAAAAGTCTTGTTTTAGGAGATTATAAAAATTCTTTTGTCATTCCCTTCTTTCCATCAATTAGCTATAAAGTTGCACATATTTTGCAGAAATTTAACTTACATGTTGTTTATCCCCCTATCAATAAAATTCCGAGTTCCATACTCAAGGACCCCATTCCGGATATGAATTCCTGGGGTATTTATAGGATTCCTTGCCAATGAGGTTTAATTTACATTGGCCAAACTAAGAGAGCCTTAAAATTTCGTGCCAAGGAACATGATGCATATGTTAGAAAAAAGGAAACACAGAAGCCTTCTGTTGCTCAACATTGTTGGTACGAAAATCACACTTTCAATTTTTCTGCTGCCAAAATTATTCAAAAAACCTCTTCCATTAGAGAACTGGATTTTCTAGAGGCATTTCACATTCAAAAAATTCTTTCTGTTCCAGTTAACGATCCTAATTCCAATCCATCTTTGCCTTCGGTCTTTAAAGATATTATGTTTTAGTTCTGGTTTCATCAACAGATGGGGCCACTTGCTTATTCCTGCCCAGGCTTTCTTATCTAATCATGATATCCTATCTCGTTCATTTGCGGTTTTGCAGCTGAGGATGGTGTTTCGGTAAAACCATCGAAACTAGTCCTGTGAAAATTTTGAACACATAAGGCTGATTTTTGTTGTTTGACTTCTGAATTAGTATTTTTTCATCATGTTATTGTTCTTAATTATTAAATACTGCTAAGATTAGGAAATTTTCTCTTCCCCTAAATAGATTTTAGATCTTCTTATACCTACAGATGTAGTTGATGACAAAGATATACTTATGGAATTGTCTCCTGGAGTTGGTGGACAAGAAGCAATGTTGTTTACAAAAGATATGTTCGATATGTATTGTCACTTTGCAGATTGGAAAGGATGGAACTATGAAATTCTAAAATATGATGCAACTGGTATAGGTAAGTAGTGTAAAATCACAAATATTCAAAATTTGATATTTTTCTGTTAATGGGACACTAGTTGCAATATGGCATCATGAAGAGCTAGGCACTGATAACACTGTATTTATTTACATATTCAAGAGGGAAAATTGCATGAATAATTTAACGTTCAAAGGCCAGTAAGCTATAGTAAGAATTTAGCAAGTTAAGAATACACATGATTAAGCTACTAGCAATTATGACAATATTATTTATTTAAAAGAAACCTGCATTTCAGTAACAATACAGAATGATATTAACATTACTGTATCTAATAAACTTTCCTCATTTTTACTTCCCTCTTTCTTAAATATCATCTGCTCTTATTGTTACCCACTACTACTCCCTAAGCCTCAAATCATTCAATGCTGTTGGAACTGCAGTTTGTATAGCTTGCTATAGTTTGAAAGTTGACTCTATCCTTATCATTATCATCATCTTTGTCACCATTCAGTCTGCCTTTGCATATACTATGATCGTTAGATACATCAAAAGCGTGAGATATAACCTTTTTATGAAGTTCTTTTTCATTGCTTCATTCAACCTGCAACAACTGCAGACAACCACTGTGTGCATAAATCCATTTTACACTTTAGGGCAGCTTGCTTTCCGAATGCTGTAAGGATGGAAAAAATTAATGAATATTAAAAAAAATTTCAGAACTTCTAAAACATTATGGAGAATATGTAAGAGGGGATACACAAGTAAATATGGTATATATAATCATGTTTAATGTGTATAATGCTGATTTTGTGCATTCCACAGCTTCAACATTGCAATGTATATCTGGAAAGAACAATAGCTTTATTCTCCCCATGTACACAGCAATCTGTTTTCTCCTAAGAAAACATAGAAAAATTACACAAATTTTATATTGTGTACAGATTGTGCAGCAAACATTATACATGTTATATTTACACCATCCAACTGTTATTCTTTTTACAAAACTTTTTTTAGGGTTGTTGCTATCATCTAGTAAAGATTTTGCACCTTCGTGTAAGTTTTGGACGAAATGGCACCACATAAACAGAAAAGCACATAAAATTTTATGTATTTGTAAATTTTAATTAGATTTTTCTAAATGTTTACTTTTTGCCTAAATCAGCAATTTTCAAATTGTAATTGGAAACAAAATTACTCTAGTTAAGAAATGATTCATTTGCATGAGAATTCCATTCACACCCTCTTTGAAAAACAGATCATGTGATCACAGAATCATAACATTTAATAAAACTATTTTGAATAAATTTGTTTTAATTTGGAGTAATGTTTATATATAGGTGGCCTAAGAAGTGCTCATATCAGTGTAACAGGTCCTAATGCTTTTAAAATCTTGAAATATGAATGTGGCGTCCACAGAGTTCAAAGAGTGCCTAAAACAGAGAAAGCAGGTAGAATTCACACCAGTACTATGACAGTGGCTGTACTTCCTCAACCTACAGAAGTAAGATATTTTATAATAGATTTTATGACAGAGATAGTGTATAAAAGATTTTTAAGAGTATTTTTTAAATTAAAAATATGGTTCACTTTTTTTTTTATTTAGCTATGTGTGTGAGTTACATACACATATGCATGCATGTGTGAGTGAGTGAGTGTGTATAGAGTAAGAGAGAAAGACCGCATAAAAAAACTAGATTTCGTTATTTTTCGAAAAAAATTTTTTTTTAGTAAATTTGACATTGCCAAAACCATTATAGGAGAAGGGATATAATACTATATATATATGTTTGGTTCTGACAATTGCAGTAAAAGTGGAAGGTCTACAACTAGATGATGGCAGTCTCATATATGAAATTTCAATGTTCTACAGCGAATCTTTTTCGAGTTATGTAATATACATGCATATGTAGAAATGTTATGAAAAAAAATCCCTTCTGAATCCATTTTAAATGTATTATATAATCTATTTTGAAAAAAAAAAGTATTTTATTCTGTCCGTACATACAGACATTATACACATACACACACACACAAATAATAATAATAATAATAATAATAATAATCTAAATCCATTCAGGAATGGTCAAAATGGATATTTCTGTTGAAATGTGTTACTCAGAAACTTTCACAATTCTTTTGAAATATACTCGAAATTTTTCATGATTACAATATTTCCTTTACTTTGCACAAGGAAGTAAAAAAAAAAAAAAAAAAAAAAAAAGCCAATTTCTCACACCGTATCAGAGATAGTGAGGAAAAGTGTCATTGAATGATTTATCTCAAGCAGTAAAATTATAAGCAATATTATATATTTTAATATCAGATTGAACAAGTTAATGAACCATGTTCATTTTGCACTGCAAAAACAGTCAGCTTCCCAATCATCTTGAAACAAGCTGTGTCCATCACATACGAGGGTTGGAACTTTAATAGTGGCAACACAGCTGAAAAAACGCTACGCAACAAAACCAAAGAATATCGCGTATACCACACGTAAACTGCATACCTACCTTACCTCTCAGCAAAAAGACTCGTCCTGCCTACGTCACGCGTATGCGGAGTGACGCGAAGAAGGGATCCTTGTATTAGCTCACGGTCTAAAGTAAGTGTTGTCACCATGTTTTCAAAACAAGAACAACGATGTTGGATAAAAATTGAATGTGCCAGAGGTCGTACAGCACGACAGTGTCATCAAGGGCTTCAAGAGGCTTGCGGGGAATCTGCATTGCCTTACAGAACTGTAGCAAAATGGGTGAAAGCATTCAATGAAGGACGCCAAAACGTGGCAGACATGTTGCGGCCAGGTCGTCCGAGTGTCAGCGATGCAGACGTGCAAGCTGTTGCTGCACTAATGGACAGTGATCACCGCCAAACGATTCGTCAGCTGGCCGGACAAACAGGATTAGCGCATACAACTGTGCTGCACATTCTGAAGGAACGCCTGTCCATGAGAAAAATTGCTCCACATTAATTGATGGAAATGCAGAAATGGCTACGATACGATGCTGCCCGAACCCACCTGGAGCGCTATGAGCACGAAGGAGATGCTTTTTTTACGCCGTATCATTACGCTGGATGAGACTTGGGGCTGATCGTACCAGCCAGAACTGAAACGCCAATTAAACGAATGGCGTCATCACGGGTCACCACGACGTTCGAAATTTCGTCAGAACCCCAGCAATGTGAAAGTTATGGTGATTCTCGTGTACGACTGTGATGGTGTCATCCTAACGCATACCGTTCCCCTACAGCAGACTGTCACTGCGCAGTATTACTGCTCATTTTTGGAGCACAATCTCCGACAAGCTTTGAGGAAAAAACGGCGACACTTTCTGCAGAACGCTCCTCTCATTTTGCATGACAATGCTCGGCCGCATGCAGCGCAAGCTGTGACTGATTTGTTCAAGCGATGGGCCTGGGAAGTGCTTTACCATCCACCATACTCCCCAGATCTAAGCCCTTGTGACTAAATTCCTAAGATGTAGGAACCACTTCATGGCACTCACTTCCAAACTGTTCCTGAGATTCTTGTGGCAGTAGACCGGTCCATTCAAACTATCAACAAAACAAACGCTGCTACAAGTATTCTGCGACTTCCACATCGTTGGAAACGGGTTGTACACAATGCTGGCGACTATATTGAAGGACTGTAAAACATGGTGACATGAATCACTTTTGTATTCCTTGTAAATAAATAGTTGCCACTATTAAAGTTCAACCCTTGTATTTTTCATTTGTACTTGGAAGACATCCCTAACATGGTGGATAATTAAAAATTATAGCTTCACACGTAAAATGGTCACTGTGGTTTTTTATCATTAGCTGACTCTTACAGTTAGACAAACAAAACAAAAATAAACTTGTTGTGACCTGCAGATTCAAAAGACAAGGATCACAATTCACATGACAGGTTCATTGCATGATGCACACCTTTTTGCTAACTGATTAATGGATTTTTATCCTCTGTAAACTTTTCAATAATTCAAGGCTCAAGGCTTGTTAAGTTTTTTTGACTGCCTTTACTTTCTTATGACTGAACCACTTAAAAAAAATTGGCAGGCTGCAGGTTGAGTATGATTGTTCTAAAACAGTGGTTGGCAAAGTGCGGCTCCAGAGCCGCATGTGGCTCTTTGGTTCCTTAAGTGCGGCTCTGGTACAAATATCCACGGAAGGCGCAATAATACTTTCATTTAAAAAAAACTTGGTAAGAAAAAAATTACATCTTATTTTGATAAATTAAAATTCTTCTATAAATCGAGAACATGTATAATTTTTTGTTTGAGTAAAAAGATAGATAGTTAATTAAAATTTTATATTGTTGTAAAAATACACAACGAACATCAAGTTTAATTTTATTAGTTTTCGTAAATGTAAACATAAACCATGTACAAGCTACCGGCATGAACGTGCATGCTTTTTATAAAGTAGTGAAGATACAAAATGGCATCACAGAGCAGCAGTTGCAGTGTGAACAATTTTGTCTATCTACCGTGTCTGCCGTTGTCTAGTCTTATTAAAATGTTGTTGTATTTTTTAATCTAGCTGCACATCTTACAAGTATTTTTATAATTTTATTACACCTGCTATGTATGTTTGTGGTTCCGGTACAAAATTTGTAACCGATTTTTCGATAACTTCCATTTGTCCAAATGTTGGAAGTTTTCTTCCATTTTTGGTCATATTAAAAGTTTTGTTATTCTGATAATGGAAAAAATTATTTTTTTCTTTTTAGTGCAGTTACATATATTAATAAAATTGTATTTTTTAAAAAGTTTTTTATTTTTATTTTCATCAATTTAATAATGATAATAATTTTGTACTGGTGGCTTTAGAAAAAAATATATTTGGAATATTTTTATAGGCACCCTAATTAACATGGCTACCAAAATAAAGCAAAGAAAAATGGAAGATGAAAACCGCAAATTTAAAGTTGAGTGGACTGAGAATTTTGCGTTTATTCAAAACTTGAATGGACTTCCGACATGTCTTATTTGTAAAGAGAAATTCGCGCATAACAAGAAGTCAAATTTAGAGAGACACTTTACAAGAAAGCACGCGTCATTTAGCACTAAATATCCTACCGGTGATGCAAGGAAGAAAGCAGTTGAGGAACTTCAGAAGAGTCAAGAGTCGTCAACTTCTGTGTTTAATAACTGGATGCAATCTTTCAGCAATATTAACATGGCAAGTTTTGTTTGTAGCCAAGAGATTGCTAAGAGAGGAAAACCGTACACAGACGGCGAATACATAAAAAATTGTTTTATAAATGCATCCGAAGAGCTATTTCGGGATTTTAAGAACGAATCAGATATTCTGAAAAGAATTAAAGAGTTACCATTGTCTGCCAAAACCATTAAAGATAGAACAATTAAAATGTGTTCGAATATAACCACCCGGCATATCGAAGATCTGAAATTGGTTTCGGCTTTATTAATAGCATTTGACAAGTCTTGTGACATAAATGATACAGTTTCACTTTTTGTAAGATTTATGTCTCATTCAGGCCCTAAAGAACTTTTAGGATTATTGCCACTCAAAGGTCAGATGCGTAGAGAAGATATCGCCAATGCTGTAATTGAGTGTACGAATAAACATCATATTCCCCTCGATAAAAAAAAGTATGACCGGCGTAAGAAAAGGGGTTGTTGCTATTTTGAAAGAAAAAATTAATCACGAGATACTTGTTTACCATTGTATCATTCACCAAGAAGTGCTTTGTGCGCAAACATTTCCGGAAGAAATTTGTAAAGTTATGGAATTAGTGATTACCATTATCAACTCCATTTTAGCTAAAGCTCTTAATCATCGCCAATTCAAAGAATTTTTATTTGAAATGGAGAGTGAGTACGCTGATCTTCTGCTTCATAACAAGGTACGTTGGTTATCAAGAGGGAACGTTTTAAAACGTTTCGCGTGCCTTTTTCCGGAAATTAAAGCATTTCTCCTTGAGAAGGGCGTTCACTATCCAGAACTAACAGACGATCAGTGGATCCAAAACTTTTATTTCATGGTAGACGTTACGTCTCATCTAAATCAGCTTAATCGTAAACTACAAGGGAAAGGAAACTTAATTTTTTCGATGTTAGAAGAAGTAATAACATTCGAAAACAAATTATCCATTTTTGCACAGGATTTTAAAAGGGAAACATTGTTTCACTTTCCGAGCCTGCTGAAGCATCGCCAAGAAAATAATTCCTCTATTGATAAACACCATTTTAAAACAATAATTTTAAATATGAGGGAAGCATTTCTCAGCAGGTTTCAGGAATTTAAAAACAGCAGAGCAACTTTAGCATTTGTCAAAAATCCTCTTAATGCTACGATAACCGAGTTGAAATTTTCTCCTTTTGAAATTGACATTGGTAGCTTTGAAATACAATTGCTGGATTTAAAAAACAAGGAGATATGGCGCTCTAAATTCGAACGTCTTGTGTGTTGAATTGGAAATATTGGAGAAGAAAAAATGTGATCTTAGTTCACAACACAAGTGGTCTGCTTTGAATGACCTGGAGAAGGAAGACATGATCATTTTCAACGCTTGGAATAGTATTCCTGACTCTTACGATCAGCTGAAAAAGCTCGCGTTTGCTGTTCTTTCCCTTTTTGGTTCTACATATATATGCGAACAATCTTTTTCAAGCATGAACATTATCAAGAGTAAACTGAGAAGTCGTCTTATTGATGAGAACTTGGAATCATGCCTAAAATTAAAAACAACAACATACAAACTGACTTACTCAAACTTTCCAAGGAGATACAAGACATTGTTCGCATTAGTAAATATTTATTAAATATTAAATTTAGTTTTATTTAGTGTAATAAAAGTTTACTAAACAAGCAGATTTGGCTCCTAATTTTTTTTTTAAATTGTTGTAATGTTCATATTTGGCTCTTTGGCTAATAAGTTTGCCGATCACTGTTCTAAAATATCAAAATATACTTAGTGCATGAAAAGTTATTCTGTTCCTATTATATTACTTTTCCATCTTCCAGTGGCCAAATCTTAAAATCAGTAAATACCAACAGTCTGACTCAAGTTCAGAAGTGGGACAGTTGCATAGAATTTGTCATGTTTTCTCCACGTGTAACATGATTACAAGGCAATGCCTGGTTTTAAGCGGATAGCTCTTAAATGCTTTTCCGTAATCTTAATAATTATAATTTTATTATATTTAATTATAAAAGCTAGCAATAGTGTCCTCTTTCCTTCTCCAATAAATAATGATGATTTAAAAGAAATACTCTTGACTGTACAACAGGCTTTTATATATCTTTCCCTTTCCAAATCATCTACACACTTGTATAAAATTACACTTATTATTAAATGTCACTTTTATAATATTTGTTTCAGAAGCTGTTGTGTTTTTTAAATGTAGTTTCATTTATAGTTTAAAAATATTTATTTATTTAACTAATTTCAGAAAAGACAAATAGTATTGATATTTACAGATTGACATTGTAATAAATCCAAGAGATCTTGAATTTGAGTACAAGCATTCTAGTGGAGCAGGAGGTCAGAATGTGAATAAAACAGAGAGCTGTGTAAGAATAACTCACAAACCATCTGGTACAGAATTTGATACAAGTTTTATTTCTACTTATTAATACTTTTACTTGAGTTAAAACTTTAATGAACATACTAATTTTTAATTTGTATTTCAATCTAGGTATAGTTGTAGAAAACCAAATGGAACGTAGTCAACAGAAAAACAAAGAAATGGCATTAAGGACACTACGAGCAAAATTGTATGAGAGGGAACTCGAAAACATACTGAAAGAAACGACTTCTAACCGTAAATTACAGGTAGGTATTGGAAATATTATTTTGCTCTTGTATTCACAAATACATGTTAAAAGTTATTGTTGGTGATTGCAACTTTAAGTATCTTGAATATACAAATAATATCTTTACAACTTTATTAGGAAAAATTGAAAAAGTGGCCTGAGTTTAAAAATTCTATTCCCCCACCCATACACATTTGATGTTATTTTTTTCTTCTTTTGTGTGTGTGTGTGTAGATTTGAGAAATTTTTCCTGTTTAATTTTTACTTTTTATTTATCTTTTAAGACAGCGATTTCCAACCGGTGATACCTGAGAGAAAAGGAGATGGTACACAAAGAAACAAAGTATTTTTAACCATTAAACTCAAAAATTAAATATACCAACATCCTGTTTTCCTCTAATACTTGTAAATTGACACGATCTGAGCTTTGTTTAAGGTCAATAGCCACTCATACACTTTAGCTAAGTAATCCATTTTTATTTTCGCAAATATTCTTTTAGCCATAGAAATAACAAAATTTGTCATAAATAATGTTTTTAAAAGAAGTAATAAAAATAAATGTCCATAAAAAGATAATACTATCTCATTAATTCTTTTACAGTTGATCGATTTATTAGAATGTCTACACTGTTTTATGTTGCCACCATTTCCGGGCTCATATTGCTCTATTTTCAATTAGAATAATTTTTTTACCTAAGTTTGGTGTCTCTAACAATGAGTGTTTTGTATTCCTTACTTTTCTATGCGATTTGAGAATATCATCGTTTGTTTTTAAAGAACTCATAATTATATTCTGCATTTAAATTGTGAAAAAATAATAAAACAAACCTAGATTTTCAAAATGAAAAAAAAATGGCTAAGATTGACTAATCGAAAAAGTGATTATTCACAGGCGATGGATCCAGGACAATCTACTAGCACTATAGAAAATATAATTAAAGTTATTTATCATTTGGGTTTACCTGGAATGGGATGAAATGCCCCCCTTAACCTCAGCGTATTTTTTGCGGTGAACTATTATGCAATAAAAGTAAGAAACCATCATTTCGTAAAATACATCTTGAATCTAAGCATGCCAATTTAAGGGATAAATCTGAAGAATATTTTAAGAGGAAGTTATCAGAGTTCAAAAATAGTAAACTAGTAATGAAAAGTCATATTACTTCAAGTGAAAAGCTTTGGAAGGTAGTTACTTAGTAAGCCTAAGAATTGACAAGACTGGGCATGCTCACAAATTACCAGCAGCCAAACATGCTGTCAAATCATACAGTAAGTATATGAATTCATGAAATGATAAATTCCATGAAAGAGACGTTTATTCAAAAAATAAAACATAGTGAGTATTTTGCTTTAAGAATGGATGAAAGTACTGATGTTGTAAGGATCTTAAGTTTTACTAACGTTTATTTTATTTTAAATCTTTACTATAACTTCTTATTTTCTACTTCCGACCAGAATTAAAAGCTTTAACTTATTTATGCAAATTTGTCTGGCGAACGCCAAGTACTTAAGTTGTGGCTTTTTGCCAAGCAAGAGAGAGGAAGGAGTTAGTCGAAGCAGGCCGCGTGCCTCAGCAGTTTACTCGGTTGCTGGTTGCCTTCCAGGCCAGAGGTTTAATCCTCTTGATAATTTTAAACGTATTGTAGTGTTAACAGTTCTCTGTACTACATACGGCTTCCTGTTAATATACGGCCAATCTTCTACGTAGGTTCTTGTTTATTATTCCAAAGTTAAGTTAGAGTTTAGTTAATATTTTTATATTCTTACGTTCAGACCACAAGTAGTTGGTCTCTGTATTCCGAAGTACGGAAATTATTGTAAAGAGTGAAAAATAAAGGGTTTCGTATACCCTTCCTGTGTATCTAAAACTAATGACCACTTCATGATGTATCCCGTGCACGAGTTCCAGAAAGTTACCTTAGCTACCAGCGCTTTGAGGGGCCAAGCGCTTAACTGGTTCAAATGTATAGGCAGAAGTCTCTTGGGTCAAGCAGGAAGTCCCACCTATACTTACGAAAATTTCAAGACTGCCCTAGTAAAAGCCTTCCCTGTCGTAAGGGATCGTGCGAAATTAGAAACGGAACTTTTCAGCATATATCAGCAAAGAATCGAAAATCTCTCAAGCTTTATTTTAAGAAAAATTCACGTCTTCAAACTCTTGTATGGAAGTGATTTTGCCGAGGTTACTTCCCCAAGTACAAGACTTTATTGAATTAAGGAATCCGACTACACTGGAAAAGTTATTTGAGCTAGCAATCCAGTTTGAAAGTAGAAGAACGGCGGACATTGAAAGAAGACGCCAATATCAACAGCGAAACCAATTTGGTGCGCCAAGACTACAGCAAACTCAAGCACACGGCTACGGAAGCAAAGCGAATCAGTGGGCAAGGAAACCCGAGCATTCAAAAACAGCCGGCGAACGTCGACAGTTCAATAGCAATCCAGGAAAAAAGTCTCAAGGCCAGTGGAAAAAGAAGGAAAGCATGGAAAGGAAAAAACAAGATTTAAACTAAAACGGATTTCTGCTGACGGGAGGGTGCGGAAATCCGAAGGCCAAGAAAACCCCTCTTCCTTCAAGTTAAATACAGTAATGGTGAAAAATTTGACTCTTCCGAAGATTGAAGTGTTGGTGAATAATATCCCAGCCACCGCACTCCTGGATACAGGCGCGCAGTGTTTCCTGTGTGGCAGAAGATTTTTTTAGGAAGTATTTTTGCAAATACCGCATATATAATGCGGATAATACGACAGTGTTAGCGGCGCAAGGAGAAAAATGTAAGTGCGTAGGTAAAGTACCTTTGTATATCCGTATCAAGGACGAACAAGTAAAGGTGATGTTTTTTATAGTAAAGAATCTGCAAGCACATTTAATTTTAGGAATAGATTTTCTTTCAGAGGCAGAAGCAACGCTGGATTTTAATGAAGCGTCCCTTAAGCTGACGATGAAACCAGTTCGAGAAGAAAAAGCTGAACCGCCAATGTTAAATCTTGACCACCTGCCTAATGACGAGCAACAAAGAATCCGACAAGTGGTAAGTGAATTTGCTTCGTTATTTAGTGATATTCCAGGATTTACTCAGGTTACTAACCATAGTATTGACACCGGAGATTCAATGCCAGTTCGCCACAAACCATACCGGTATGATAAGAATAAGGAAAAAATTATAGAATGGCATATTACCGATATGCTACGTAAAAAGATCATAACGCCCATCTCAAGTAGTTATGCTAGCCCGGTGGTTTTATGTAAGAAAAATAATGACTATCCTTTGACACATCCAAAAAGGTGGGAGATTCGCTATTGATTACCGTAAATTAAACTCCATAACTAAATATCCGGTATATCCGTTACCTATTATTGAAGAAATTCTAAGGAACATAACATCAACCAAATTATGACGACTTTAGACTTAACGACTGGTTATTTTCAAATAGGGGTTAGGCCTGAGGACGTGCCTAAGACTGCTTTTATAACCAAGTCTGGCACTTATGCATTTTTGCGTATGCCGTTTGGCCTTTCAGGGGCCCCGGCAACATTTCAGCGATGTATGGACATTGTGTTAAGACCTGTTCTTGGAAAGTCCACATTTATCTATTTAGACGATATCATTATTACTAGTGATAATCTCGACCAACATGTACAGGATTTAAGACAGGTGTTTTCTTCATTAAATGAGGCCGGTCTAAATGTTAATGTCGAAAAGTGCAAATTTGCAGCCCCTGAATTAAAATATTTAGGTTACAAAATACCTCAGAAAGGAATCGAGACAGACGAATAAAAAATAATTGCTGTACAAAAGTATCCTCCGCCAAATACGGCGAAGAAGCTCTCTTCTTTTCTAGGACTTTATTCATATTATAGGTCCTTTATAAAAGATTTTGCAGCTATTGCTGAGCCATTGTTAAAATTAAAAAGGAAAAAGGCAAGATTCTCGTGGACGGCCGAAGCCAATAGTGCTTTCGAAAAATTAAAACAAGCATTAACGCAAGCCCCTGTGTTGAAATTTCCTGAAAAGGATGAGAATTTAGAAATTTCAGCGGATGCTTCGGATTATGCGGTAGGAGCGGTACTTTCGCAAAATCAGCAGCCCGTGGCATTTTTTAGCCGAACTTTAAATCAAACACAAAGAAACTATTCCGCGACCGAGAGAGAGGCACTTGCAGTTCTGTTAGCAGTGCAAAAGTTCCGAGTCTATTTTGGAAAGGCGCCAATAACAGTGTATTCTGATCATGCGGCGGTAACTAGATTGTACTCAGGGAAAAACTTATCCCCAAGGTTAATAAGATGGGCACTCAAGCTACAAGAATATAATCTGGTAATCAAGCATACCCTCGGAAAGGAAAATATCGTAGCAGATGCCCTATCCAGAATAAAAATAGATGAAGAAGGTAATACTGTAAAGGTGGCAATGCTCACAGCATGTACAATAAATTCCCGAGAAACTATAATAACCGAATAATAATAACCGAACTGGGTAAGGATCCTGAGTTTGGAAACATTTATGAGTATTTAAAGGATCCTGAAAATTTTAGCCACCAAGATATTGTGGCGATAAGAAATAGGGCGGCCCATTACGAACTAATAGAAGGTCTATTATTTTATACAAAAACTACGAATTCCAACAACGAATTTCGACCTGTTATCCCAGCTAGTCTTAGATTAAATATCCTGCAGGAGCTCCATGACAGCCCTTTAGCTTCTCATGCTGGTATTCGAAAAACTATCCAACGCGTACGCGAGGCAGTCTACTTTCCTGAACTGCAAAAGTTAACAAGGGCGTATGTCCAGTCCTGCCCAACATGTCAAGCAGTTAATTATATTAATTTCCGCCCGGCCGGGTTTCTAAATAGTATTAAATCCGAATTTCCAAATGAAATAATTGGCATCGATTTATTGGGCCCTTTCCCAAAAAGTCAGTTAAATAAAAGTCGCTATCTCCTTGTTATGGTTGATCATTTTAGTAAATGGACCGAAATTGTTCCCTTAAAACGAGCCTCCGCGAAATTAGTTACTGATTCTATTTTAAATAAATATATTTTAAAATACG